AGGCCAGCCTGAACTGCATAGCGAGACCCTGTTTCAAAAAGATAAATAAATAAGTAAATAAGTAAATAAATAAATATAAAATATTTTCAAGGTTTCATCCATGTTATAGCATTTATTAGTACCTCATCATCTTTGTGACTGTATAATATTCCACTCGTGGATATGGACATAGGACGTTTTGCTTATCTACTCATCAGGTGATAGACATTTAAGTCTTTTCTATGTTTGGCCATTATGAATAGGCTGCTGTGAACATTCATGTACAAGTTTTTGTGTGTAGACAAATATTTCAGTCAATGAATAATTGAATGGTTGATGACGTCTATTTCATCATGTGATCTTTGGTCAAAACATGAATTATAGCCTTCTTTATTGCTTTTGGGCAGGTCTGGGCCGGATTGTTCAAGCTGAAGAATATCTTTCACAAGCCCAGTGGACAGTCCTCAAGTCCACTGAATGTAGCAATGCCACCTACTCCTTACTGCATCGGAATCTGGGGCTTCTCTACATGGCCAAGGGAAACTATGAGGAAGCCCGTTACCATCTGGCCAATGATGTAAGCGAGCTAAGTTGTAAAACACCTGGGAGTTTAGTTGTTTTGTTTTTTAGATGAACATTTCCCTGAAATATCCTGTTTGCAACTGACCATTTGGTTGAGTATCAGCAAGAACAAAAATCTTACATCCCCACTTCAGGCCTATCCATTTTCTGGCTATGCAGCCTTGGCCCGGCCTCAGTTGCTCTGAGGATAACAAGGAGAGATAACTTCATACTGGTTAAGGGAAGGGCTTTGCTTTTGTCCCAATTCTATTGTTTCACCAGTTACATAGTTTGGGGCAAATTATTTAACCTCTTTCAGAGACAGAAATCATAAAAAACCTCTTGGACACTTGGGTCATTGCAGATTAATAATAGAACAATATATGCACACTACTTTGGCTACTTTTAAAAATAATATTAATATCTACTTCAGAGTGTGGTTATTAAATTTAAATGAGCTAGATCTATAAGAAAGCACTTACAAACTCTAAAGTTCTATCCAAATGCTAGTGTAAGATGATGGGAATAATATCTGAGCTGTTCTTTCAGAATCATGAGGTTCCTCTTAGGTTTTTGGTATTGGAAAATATTGCCAGAGAGAAATCTGGTTAGGTTGGGTCAGACTGCAGTCTCCACAGATGTGAGCTGTTTCCTCAGCCTTTCCACTGGCCTCTCCATGGACAGCACTACCTCTGCTTGGCTGCCACTGGATTTAGGGTTGCCCATAGATTCATTCTCACGATACTTACAACCCCACCCAAGCCCCAAGTCCACTCCTTCCTCCTGTCTGACCTGGGAGGCTGAGCTTCGTGGACTCTTGCTGCCTGGCTGTGGTTGGGGTTGGAGAGCGGGAGGCGGAGGAGGGAAGCAGAGGGGTGGGCGTTGGGAGATTTCTGCTTGCTGCCCCAGCCCAGCTTTGGCAGGGACACTCACTGTTCCTCAGTGGCCGTGGCTCCTGGCGAGGGGCATTCTTAGCGCTGGCTGGGGCCTGTCTATCTCCCCTTGCTTTCTGAGGCCAGAGATAGTAATGGTTTCTTGCTGTTGGTTTCCCTTGTGCTTCACTAACCCTTGCTGGTTCTTTAACCCTTCCATATCTCAAATAATTTTTCCATTTAACTATCTTCAGGTAATACTTTTGAGGGTACCATCTGCTTCCTCCTGGCCCCAGAGCAATTCAAGCCCTCATTTGTGTTTCTTCTCTATTTTCCAAACCATATCCTCCAACAAGTTAAGCAGAGGCACGTGCTATCTTGACCTGGGCCACGCAGTTAAAAATTAGATCAAGCGCAGATACCTCAGTCTAGTTTATTTTTCTTTTATCACAAAACTTTATTGATATTGCCCATTAAACTCATTTTAAGGGTACAATTCAATAAATTTTAGCACATTTACAGAGCTGTGCAGTCATAGAACAATCAAGTTTTGGAACATTTCTGTCACCCCGGAGAGATCCCTCCTTTCCATTTGCAGCTGCTTCACATTCCCACCCTAGTCCTCGGCAGTCACTTTCTGTCTCTGTAGATTTATCTTTTTTAGTCGCGGTCTATAAATGGAATCTTATGTAGAACTGACATCTGACTTCTTTCACTTTGCATCATTAGTTGCATGTATCAATAATTCATACCTTTTATTGCTAAATAGTAGTCCATATTCTGGATAGACACTAATTGGTTATCTGTTTATCAGATAATGGGCATTTTAGTTGTTTGTCCTTTTTGGCTCTTATAAATAATATTGCACAAAAGTTTGTGTACATGTCTTAGTGTGGATGGACGTTCTTCTTCCTCTTCAGCAAGTACGAGAAGAGGAACTGCTGGGTCGTATAGTAACTCTTTGTTTAACGCTTTGAGGAGCTGCGAAACTGTTTCCATCGAGGCTGTACCATTTTACATCCCTAACAGCAAAGTATAAGGGTTTCATCTTCTTCTTATTCTCACCAGTACTTTTTATTGTCTGTCTTTCTTTTACATTATAACCATTCTATTGTGTATGAAGTGGTATCTCATTATGGTTTTATTTTGCCTTTCTCTAATGACTATTACTGTTAAGTAATTTCTCATATGCTTATTGTTCATGTACATATGTTTTGGAAAAATGTCTATTCAAATCTTAGGCCATTTTTACATTGGGCTGTTGTAAAAGTTTCTTTCTGTGTATGTATTCTGGATACATATGACTTTCAAAGGGAACTCAAGCACTCTCCTTTCTCTTGCAATAGATTTATTTTGCCAGTTGTGCATTTGGAACAGAGGATATCAGGACCTCTGGAGGCTACTTCCAGCTGGCTAATATCTTCCATAGCCTTAAAAAATTGGACTTGGCAGATACATTGTACACTAAGGTGAGCTGGGGGATGTGGGAACCGAGCCTTAACGTTTAGGTCTGGTGTTTCATAACTAGTGTCAGACCATTTATAAGAAACATACCAGCCAGGCATGGTGGTGGCTGCCTATAACACAGCGCTGTGTCAGGCCAAGGCAAGAACATTGCAAGTTTGAACCCATCCCGGGAAACTTAGCAACTTAGTGAAACTCTATCTCAAAAATAAAAAAGAACTGGGTTTAATTCTCAGTACTGAAAAAAAAGCAGAAGCAGCAAACAAGCAAACAGGAAAGAAATGAATAAGGCTTAGAGACATAAAGTGACTTGCCCACGGTTACATAACCTGATACATGCTCTACTTTTCTTCCTATTTTTCTACTCCCAAAACAACAATCTTCAGCGTCCATAGGATGCTTCTTTGGCTGTGTCACACCATAGGGGCAAGCTAATGGGCCTATAGAAGTGTGCGACAGAACAGAAGAGCTTTTCCGGAGAAATTTATTGGTGCAAGGTCCTGTCAAGGACCAAAGAATATGAAAATGATAATTATAAAATTCTGCTTTGATATGCAGAAAGTTAAACCTGTTGCCATGTGCTAAAATGTGCTGTCTTCACGCAGCACCACCTCACGTAGCCAGCAGCTGTTTCCGCGTGTGGGACGGGCGCTCACACTGTGACCATTGAGTCATATTTTAGGCCTGTTTCTTAGACAGATACTGAGAAGCAATGAGCTTTGGAGTCAGTCAGATCCAGGCTTATTTATTTATTCATTTATTTATTATTTTAAAGAGAACCCTACAAAATTTCCAAGGAAGATAATAGGAGGGCAACAGTGGTTAATACATTGTGTATTGTTATAAGATATCAGCATTTAATTCTCCAAGCAATATTAGCAAACCTTTCCTTTCAATGAAGTGAGACAAGTTAGTTGTATAACTATCTTAACTACCATACATATATATATGTATACATATATAAGTTTTCCATTCCTTCTTTTCTCCATTCCCCCACTCCAGTTGCTCTTTCCTTTTGAAGTTTCTTCCCATTTTACAGTATCTGTTGTACATTTTGGGTCTTATTTACTCTTTCAGCTTCTCACACTAGGGAGACAATATGATGTCTGCATATGTACATCTGGTTTATTTCACTTATGAGTATGGTCTTGAGTTGCATCCATTTACCTATAAAAGTCTCAAGTTTATTTTTTATGGCTGAGAAGTACTCTATGGTAGTAGAAGACCACATCTTTTTTATCCATTCCTCAGTTGATGGGCATTTGGATCATTTCCAAGATCTGTAACTATGGCTATTATAAATATGGGTACACATATATTGGTATGGTATGATGTTTTTAATTATTCTGGGAAGATACACAGAAAGGAAATGGCTGGGTCAAATGGGACCTCCAATCCTAGTTTTTTGAGGAATCTCCCCACACTGATTTCCACAGTGGTGGCACCAGTCTACACTCCCACCAACAGTGGAGAAGGGTTCCTTTTTCCCCATAGCCCCTCCAACATTTGCTATTTGTTGATGTCTTGATAATAGCCATTCTTTCTGGGGTGAGATGGAATCTCAGTATTGTATTAATTTGTTTTTTTTGTACTGGAAATTGAACTCAGGACCTTCTGTTCCAGTGATCTTCAGGTCTTTTTTTTTTTTTTGCCAGTACTATGCTGTTTTTATCACAGTAGCTTTATAGTATAATTTCAAGTCAGGGATTGTGATGCCCCCCCTAACTTGCCTTTGTTGCTCAGGACTGCCTTTGCTATTCTACGTCTCTTCTTGTTCCAAATGAGTTTTAGGATTGTTTTCTCTAATTCTGTGAGATATGCTATTGGAATTTTGATTGGAATTGCATTAAATCTGTATAACAGTTTGGAAGTATGGCCACTGTCACTGTATTGGTTCTTCCTACCCAACAGCAAAGGATATTTTTCCATTTTCTGATGTCCTCTTCAATCTCCTTTTTCAGATACTGTAGTTTTCAATGTAGAGGTGTTTTACAACCTTCATTAGATTGATTCCTAGGTATTTCATTTTTTTGGATGCTATTATGAAAGGTGTTGTTTCCCTAATTTCTCTCTCACTGAGTTTGTTATTCGTGTACAGAAAGGCTGTTGACTTTTGAATGTTGACTTTGTATCCAGCTATCCTACTGAATTGGCTTATTAAATCTAGCAGTTTTTTAAGTGGAGTTTTTGGTGTCTTCTGTGTAGGGTACCATGTCATCGGCAAATAATGGTAACTTAACTTCTTCCTTTCCTATCATTATTCCTTTTATTTCTTTCTATCATCTAATTTGCTCTGGCAATTAACTTTCTCCTTTCTTATCTTTATTGTTTTTACTTCTTTTTCTTGTCTAATTGCTCTGGCTAATATTTCCAGAACTATGCTGAATAGGAGTGGTGATAGTGAACATCCTTGTCTTGTTCCTGATTTTAGAGTGAAAGCTTTCAGTTTTTGACCATTTGGTATTGGTTGGCTGTTGGTTTGTCATAGATGACTTTTATCAGATTGAGATATAGACCATCTATTCCAATTTTTTGTAGGGTTTTTATGATCAATGGGTGTTAGACTTTGTCAGAAGCTTTTTCTGCACTATTGAGAGGATCATGTGACTTTTGTCCTTGGCTCTGTTAATATGATGTATTATATTTATTGATTTGTGTATGTTGAACCATCCCTGCACCCCTGGGATTAATCCTATTTGATCATGGTTTATAATCTTCTTGATGATTTGCTGCACTCTATTTGCCAGTATCTTACTGAGTATTTTTGCATCTATGTTCATTAGAGAGATTGGCCTATAATTCTCTTTCTTAGTTGGGTCCTTCTCTGGTTTTGGTATCAGAGTAATGCTTGCTTCCAGGAATGAATTTGGGAGTACTGCTTTGCTTTCAATTTCATTAAAGAGTTGCAGAAGTAATGGTGTTAGATATTCTCTATATTTCTTGTAGAATTCAGCAGTGAATCCATCAAGGCTTGGATTTTTCTTCGTTAAGTTTTTAATTACATCTTCAATATCATTGATTGATATTGATTTATTTAGGATTTTTATATCTTTTTTATTCAGTTTTGGTAATTCATATGTATCTAGGAATCTGCCCATTTCTTCTACATTTTCCATCTTACTAGAATACAAGTTTTCAAACTAGTTATAGATGATCTTCTGGATTTCTGTAGGGTCCATTGTGATTTTACCCTTTTCTAATTGTGTGGATTTGAGTCTTTTCTTTCTTCTTTTTTTAAAATAAGGTTGGATAAGGGTTTGTTGATTTTATTTAATCTTTCAAAGAACCAACTTCAATTCATTCTTTGTATTTTCAGTCTCCAATGCTTTAATCATGCTCTGATCTTTATATTTCCCCCCTTCATGTGAGCCTTTGGCTTAGCTTGCTCTTTTTTTTCTAGAAGTCTGAGGTTTACCATTAAGTTGTTTTTTGTATTCCCTCTGTTTTTCTGACATCGGTATTCACCGCTATAAATTATCCTCTTAGAACTGCTTTCACTGTGTCCCATAAGTTCTGGTATGTTGTATTATCACTATCATTTCATTGTAGAAACTGTCTAATTTCTTCTTTAATTTCTTCTGTGATCCATTGGCTATTCAGGAGGGTGCTATTTAATTTCCATGTGTTTATGAAGTTCTTGTGGTCTCTTTTGCCATTGATTTCCAATTTCACTGCATTATGGTCTGATAATATGCATGGGATGATTTCAGTTCCTTTGCATTTACTTAGACATGTCCTGTGAGCTAGTAGGAGGTCTGTTTTGGAGAACATCCCATGTGTAGCTGAGAAAGATGTGTATTCTGATGTTGTGGAGTGGAACATGCTGTAGACATCTACTAAGTCCATTTGTTCAAGAGTTTGATTTAATTCTAATGTTTCATTGTTGATTTTTTTTTTTTTTTTTTGGTTTTTTTCTCCGGTACCGGGAACCAAACTCACAACCTTGCGCTTGCCAGACAGGCGCTTTGCCACTGAGCTAAATCCCCAGCCCCCATTGTTGATTTTTTTATCTAGTTGACCTGTCTTTTTGTGACAGTGAGGGTTGAGATCCTCCAATACAATTGTATTAGTGCTTATTTGATTTTTTGTGCACGTTAAAATTTGTTTTATATAGTTTGCTGCACTGGTATTTGTTACATATATATTTATGATT